TTTTTGGTGAAAATAATAGATTTTGGAGGTAAAACACAAAAAATAAAGGTAAAAATTTTCATAGAATTTCTTATACAATTACTTGCAAAATATTCAAAAAGAAAAAAAAAAAAGTTATATAAGCTACAAATAAAGCCGACGGCCAGCCCATATCAACCAACTAAAAAAAACCGACCAAATCTATTCTACCGACCCGAGGAACTTAAGAGAGACTTTGGAGTCATAAAAAATGAAGTAAGTTCAATTATTCAAATTGTCGATTGAGTGTATATGTGATAATATTTTTTGCATTAAAATTCTCTTAATTCTTTTTGCAGTTGCATTTCAAAGAGAAGAATATCTGTGAATTAAATATGTACAAAAAAATTATGTTAGATTGAACACCACAACCTGAACAACTGACTCGGCCTGAACGAGCCAGCCTAGGTGACTGACCCAGTATGGAAAATTGACCCAGAGGGACGACCAACTCATCCTGGACGACTGACACAGCTTGGAAGACTGACTTAGAAGAATCAATTAATTTAGAGAAAAGACCAACCCAGCCTGGACGACCAACCTATAAGGAAGACTGACTTAGCCAGGACGACAAGTAGTCGTAGCTTGGACGACCCAATACAACTGACAACCACAAGCCCACCTATGTAAAATACCCAAAATAATCCGTACAACCCTCATTAAAGTAGGGTTAGAAATACAATATCTTCAAATTATATTGCATCCCCTATAAGTAGGGGATCATTTTATGAATGGGGGACACTTTTGGCCCTCACTCGTGTATTTCATAAAAATTTGATTATATAAAAAGCGTCACAAGAGCCTGGGAATACCCCAGTTTGCCCTAGAGAGGAAAGTCGATGTGCACTTCTCTCTCTCCAGTTTTATGTCTCATTCCTTCAACAAGATTCATGAACAAATTACAATTCAACAAAAAAGTAATGTTGATACACTATATCACCACTGATGCCAATACTCATCCATCTCTATAAAGTTTAATCCTCATCTTTTTTTTTTCATCAAGATCTTGCATGATGTCAATGCTATGCTAACGCCCATTTCATTATGAATGTTAAAGCCATCTATTCATAGCTAATATATTTTATCAACATCTTCTTGAAACAATAAAATGCATCTTTTATAAAATATAATTCGTAATAAGAGAATTGTTTCAAATCAGATATAACTCATAAAATTTTTGCTTCACATGCTATTTCAAATTTATGCATACTAGAAAATTTACAGAGGTAAAGTAATATATTAATATCTAAAGCTCTTAGCATTATATGAAATCTAGCGTGCGCAAACAAATGATAAAAATAATAGAAAAAAAAAGTATATTTACGTGAAAAAACTTAGAAAGGGAAAATATATTGGGGTCAGCCCAATAAAAAATGATCCACTATAAGTTTGTGAGTATGAACATGAACCCTTATCTCTCAATCAGAAAAGAGCAACAAGATTTCTCCATGTAAAATGTCTTTATGCATATGTTTAGGATACTACGTTACTCCGTATGATGCTTTATTCTTCTGCAAAGTGCGTTGTTACTCCATAAGATGTTTCATTACAATGTACGTCCTCACTCTGTAATGAGGTGGTGACCAATAGTGGTCGATAGTGGCTGACAGGTGGTAGTCGATGATTGTTGGCAACTACGGAGGCAGGAATTGATCACTGGATCACCAGTCCAGATAACTCTAGATATTGTCTCAATCTTCTCCTCTGTCAGATCCAGACCTAGCTCTCTTTTCATGAAGAGAGTGTGGCTCCCTTTATAGATTTGGGGATTGAATCCTTTGTAAATACTATGTGAATTCGGGTTACTCTATTGGACGACCAAGAGTGATTCCCTTGATCAGATGATATTTTATGGACAGTTATTTTTCTCAATGACATTGAAATTGAGTTATCTTAGGCTCGTTAGATTTTTCTCATCAAGTTGTTCGATTTGATTATAAGTTTATCAAATTTAGAGTTCATTTGACATTTTAACTAATCAACAAAGTCTTCAAAATGGTTTAAAGGTTTGATCTATGCTTGAGTTGACTCATATTAGATAAATTTTGGTGTCATTAAGTTCTTCTCGTTGAGCCAGTCAGTTTTGAATTTCAAAATGATTTTTAATTTCAATCGAAATATTTCTTAATCCAAAAAAAAAGCTTTGATATTCATGCAAAATGCCTCAAAATGCATGCCAAACAATAAATTTGTTCATGACACAACAAAACTATAAAAGTTTTTATAGCACACACAAATTTTTACTATGCAATTTTATTATTGGGGCAGTTACATAGCACACAATTCTTTATGTATCTTATTATTAGCTATCCAATTAGCTGCTTGCCACAACGCGTGCGTGCTGACGTCGCCGCCATCTGACTAGCCGGCGCCCATTTCACAGCTGGCATCATTTGAAAATGTGAAACAACAAAATTCGAAATAATTTCTTAGATTATTTTTGGGATTTTTACGTATAATGTTATTTACATATAAAAGCCCTTAAACAAGTAGAAAAGCTGCCGGCGCTTAAGATGTGCCTCAGGCACTGTTATTCAAACCGCTTCTTGGTGGTTCAAACCGCGCTATCGCGGGCCAGCCGTGGACCTCGACGGCGCAGCGGCGACCAGATTCTGGAAGCTGAGGCGGCGAACAGTTGACACGTGTTAGTTCTACTGCCGTTAACATTTGACCACTTGCCTGGGGGTTGAACGGGTCCTCCTCACACGCGGCGGCGAAACGAAACCCGTGGTTGGGCTTCTTTTGGCGGCAGGTAGGAAGTTAGTTGATCAGACGGAACTCTTTTCATTTATAAGAAAATTGTTTTCAGTACTGTTATGATAGAGAATGATTCGGAGTCCAATAAAATCACGTCACATAACGATGACAAAAAAAATAATAAAATATGTCAAATAACATAATAAAATATTAGTGTCATGTTATTCAGGTGTTATTGTGTGTTATTAAGTGTTATTGATGTGTTATTTTGTTATTATAACACTGAGAACCCAGAACACAATAACACATGAATAATACATAATAACAAGGAGAGAATATTCTCATGTTATCGGGTATATTTTTATTTTTTTTCTGTCAACACCACATGACGTGATTTCATTGAACCCCGAATAATTTTCTACATTATGAGTCCTGATAGAATGTGCTCCAAAGAAAACCTTTTTGTCCAATTAATATTAGAACAAAATAAATTAAAATTTCTGAAATATATTGATGATCTCATTCACAATCAAGTAGAATGCTTACGTTATCACCAGAAACAGTAAAAACGTAGCCAACATATATATAATTCAAACTCATATTTATATATCAATTAATATCTCACTGGCTGTCGTCTGAGTAAGGTTTACACACACACCATATAACTCTTATATACTTACAAAACCTAAAACTAAGTTTTAATATTTACTTAAAAAAATAATGATATTTCTAAGGCAAAATTATAAATTCAAGTGTTACACAAATGACCATCAGATTTTAGATGCAAAATTTACAAATGAAAAAGAAATCCATATTGTAAATGTAAATCACCCTAATTTTAATTAATTAAATGCCCCTTTCCACAAATTTAAAATAAAAGAAATAATAATTAAAAAAAATTAAGAAAAAATACGAATCACAAAAGTAGTATATTTATTGAAAATCTAAAAACAGAATCCAGCTACTCAAGTTTGAATCACTGGCATCTCTTTTGGTACTGCCAGAGTTTCGTCTAAAATCTTATTTCCACATTTAAAAAATTAAAAAATAATAAAAATAAAAACTTTTAGCAGACAAAACTATATATATATATATATATATATATATATAATTAAATAAAATAAAAACTGGAAATTTATATTCCATTATTTACAGAAAATGCTCAGAAAAGCATCAGTTTATGACAAAATGGTACTTGGACTCCACATAGTTCTCAGCTTGCCAAAGAAAAGATCCAAACGCAACAGCCTCCAAGACGAGCATTGTAAGTCCAGAGAAAGACATTCCTACTAACTCATCATTTGAAGTATCCAAAGTTCCATCTTCTGCTATCTTTATATCAGGTCTCCCAAACAGTGACTGCGTTTGCTTCTCAATCAATGAAACCGCTTCATTTGACCGAATGGTTGCATATCTCTGCAATGTGTCTGCATCTAAACACATGACATAAGACCTCAGTTTATATGACTTTTCGTCTGGCTCGCCGTCAATGTCTTCGTCTGGCGAAAGCAGCACCAAAGAGTCCATGTCCCAGAGAGGGTTTGGTTTCAGGCCGTCAAGGATTCGTTGGTCGGGGATTCTTTTAGGGAGGGTGTTCATGGTTCGTTCGAGCTGGTATCTCTCATCCACTCTCTTGAGGAAGTAGCCATACATGATGGAGGCAGCGTAGAGCTTTCCAAGCTTCAGTTTACTGATTCGCACGATGGTGTTCGGAGGGCCGATGAGTCTTTCACCGAGGATTAAGGTAAGGTGGCCTTGGATCATCTCCATGGCATCTGGCGAGTGGATGGCTTCGAGCTTCTGTTCTTGGTTGGGCCAGAAGTCCACCTGCCTCGTTGGATGAGTGGTTGGAGAAATTTTAGGGATCATCAGGATGTTTTTCTCCAGGAATTTCTGGACAATAAAACAGTAGATTATCTCTTCCAGAGACTTCTGCCTGTCCTTTTCCCTCACTTCTGCAATTCTCCTTTGGGATTTAAAGGATTTAAATTGTAAGATTTAGGTTTAAGTATAAATTATGGTAGCAGATTGTATGGAAACAAGTGATAAATTATTGACATGTTATCCTCGAAGAAGGCGCAATTGTTTAAAAGCAAGTAGATGAGTTATTCTGAACAATCCTCTAATGAGATAACACTGATTACTGAGTCATGGAATATTTACACCCTTATGAGAAAATATACAAAGAAGGGCTACCATGAGTCTGTCTAACAAATCTAGTGAGATAAAGGCGAATGGAGTTTGAATGGAATCGTGACAAAGATTTGAAGGAACAAAACATTATATATATATATATATATTATACGTAATTTTGTGAAAGAGAGGAAGTAAAAGAGAATATCCAGTCAGATAAAGATTGTATTTACATATTTATGCTCGAATTTAAGAAGAAATGTTTGTTTATAAAACTACAGTAAAAATGTTTTCCATATTTAATGGTAAAAATGTTCTTCATACTTCGTGTTCTATGTCAATTTTAGTTTAGCCTAGGGCATTGTATTCATTGATACACACAGAACCTTTCCTGTAACAGCCTTAGAGATGTTTGCCACTAGAATCATCTTTCCCCCTTCTATGTTCATCCAAGCTTGTATATTTCATTACAGGTAACCTGTCTAGCAAAGAAATTTCCAAGGCATGTAGATATTAAGATATATTAGCTTCTAAAACTTATTAATGTAGACCTAGGTTGAGATTCTAAAAATAAAAAAATTAAGATGTGGTTTTCCAACTTTTAATTTGAGCAAATATTAGTATAATCCGATGCAAAACAGATCAACACACTTCAGCCATTCTAAACAATAATATAAAAATCATCAAAAAGGATATACAATTGATCAAATTTGGGATAAAATAGAAAAAACAAACCTCATGTTTGTTTATGTAGAATTGTCTCATAAAAATTGTCAACAAGTTTTAAAAAGCACTAAAAGAATCCACATCAAACAGCACACACAGGAATTGAGAGAACAAAAAATTTTCAACTATTAAATGAGCTTTATATGCCTAGATAATCCTATTTATAATCCACAAAGAGCAAAAATTTAAAAATATCATAATCATCTGTGATGTAGCCTAAAGTTATAAATTTCAATTCAATCAACAACAAAAAAAAGGCGCAAGAACACACGGTCAGAGAGTTATTACACCTTTCCTTCGAATCCAAGTCAACAATAACTTAGCAAGATTGTAAGATACAATAGAGATCGCAAGAAGAAAGAAACTAATGCAGAAGAAGGGAAAGCTACACAAAGAATAGCCAAAGAAGGAAAATATTGCATAAACCAACTATCATGGTAGATCACAAGAAAGTCATACTTTAAGCTCAGGGTGCGTCAGAAGGACACATGAACTTCCCTTGAAGTCTATGTAAACCATCAGCCAATATTTTAACACTAGATATGGCAAGTTGAATGAATGCAGAGCATATTTGAGTTATGAGAATCAATATTTTATCTAACAGAGCTATTTTGTATAGTTGCGGGTGTGTCTCGACGTGCAAATTTATATATTCAATTTTAGACTTAGAAATAACATTCAAGTAACTTTCACTATTGATAACGAGGTTACAAAGCACTTCTTGATGCTTAAAATAAGTTTGAAAGATGGCTCTTTTCCAATTAACTAAGCTGTGGGTGTGGTGATGATGCATCACAAAAGTCTCAATCAAAGCAATTTTAGAGGCACTAACCTCCTCATCAAATTCATAAACATCATTTACTGTGCCATTCTTATTATCTTCCTCTTCAATATTAATTGCAAATTGTATTAGGACATTTACTCATAAAGTGACCCATGACATCAAAAACAAGCTTTAATAGAAATTTGAGAGCCAAATGCAATGATTAAAAGTTCCTTCTTTGAATCTTTGTCAACTTAGCATTATGCCCCATAGGTTTTCTCATGATACCGTTCCAATAAAAATAAATAAATAAAAGAGAGAGAGAGAGAGAGAGAGAGAGAGAGAGGTCACACATTGAAAAAGGATGCTTAATTTTTTTTTAAGTATGGCTTTTCGAGTGTTTACCTGATCTTTAGGTTAGTATGGTATAGAAATATCCAATATACTATAGCATAGTATAATATAATGTATGAGAAAATGTCTAAAATAATCTTCCAAACATTCATATGTAGTCAGTTTAATCTTAAAGAATCACATTTTCTTTAATTTAATCTTTCAACTATACAAAATTGAACACAAATGATTTGTCATGAAAAATTGATGTATATTAGGATATAAAATTGATCAAATTTGGGATTAAATTGCACACATAAAATTGGTTTAAGACTATTTGGGCTTTATCCCTGTTCTACAGTATTTAATAGTATTGTATGATATAATATAGTGCAATATAGAATAATATACTAAAGTAGAGTACAGCATAGCATGGTAAAATATAATGTGGAATAATATAATATAGCATTCCATATTATAGCAATGATAGAATATTATATAATATAGGATAGTGTAGTCTAAAATAGCACAGCAGAGCACTTTTAGAATAGGAAGAAGTTCTTTCATGTGCTAGAAATTGTTCTAGTAGTTTTAAAACACAATGAAAGTTGAAAAACCTTCTCAATCGAGTTACATATTGCTCACCAGATATCATTTGTCAATCAAAGAAGTGGTTCATATGCATATCTAATCACATAAAGCCTAAATATGTGTTTACATCACCATCGACAACGACTGATGCATAGAAGTCTAAACTCTATCACAAAAATTATCTCAATTACCTCTGCTCCACCTCAACATAACACTAATGATAAGGAATTTCATGCCTAAACAAGAAGAAAAAGGATCAATGAACATGTAAAGAACACTACGTAGACCCAAAACTGTGAGTGCTTGAACCAAATCCTCCTGATAATCATAATGGTGTGGATTCCTCAACATGACTCTTACACCGATGGTTGATCACACAATAAGATATATGAGGGTGCCACCAGCCATCCAATTGAAAGATATGTTGCTTATGAAAAATTGTTATCACCTTATATGATTTTTGTGACAAAGCTTAATAGTGCGTAGATTCTCAATCCATCAAGACAATTTAAAGGTTCTAGTACAAAAACAAACAGTTGAGGAAAAAATTTTGGCTCTAGAGAAGAATAACACATTGACACTTAGAAAAGTACATCATGGAAAAAATCCTTTAGGCTACAAATGGATATTCACAATCAAATACAAAGCAGATGGAAGTGTAGCGAAATTCAAAGCAAAACTAGTTGTCAAGAGTTTCACGCAGTCATACGTAACTGACCACCAGGAAAAATTTACACATGCCAACAAACTTAATACGATTCCACTCTCTTATAATAAATCAAAATTGGCATTTATACCAACTTGATGTCAAAAATGCTTTCTTACATAACAACCTTAACAAAGTCTACATGAATAATCTCCGGTTTAGAAAATAGGTCAAACAGCAGGTTGGTATGCAAGTTGAAAAATTCTTATATGGCTTAAAGTAATCTCCTCATACTTGATTTGACATGTTTGCCAAAATAGTGCTTACAAACGGATAAGCTCAGTGTTAAGCTGATCATACATTATTTGTTAAATCCAATCTTAGAGGCAATTGTTATTCTTATAATATATGTAGATATTATGTTGACAAGCGATAATTCAAAGAAAATTATCAAGCTAAAAGGATACTTGCAATAGAACTTGAGATCAAAAACCTCGGGACTCCATGATATAATTTGGAGATGGTGGTGGCTCGGTCTAAGAAGGGAATTATCATATATCCCAAAGTACATCTTAGAACTGTTAAGTGAAACTAGCATGCTTGGGTATAAACCTGTTGACACACCTATGAATTCTAACAAAATGCTAAATATAAGTGAAGGGAATTATCATATATCCCAAAGTAAATCTTAGACATGTTAAGTGAAACTAGCATGCTTGGTTATAAACCTGTTGACACACCTATGAATTCTAACAAAATGCTAAATATAAGTGAAGAAAAAGAAAGCAACCAGTTGATAAAAAAAGATATCAAAGTCTTATAGGCAAACTACTTTACCTATCACACATAAGGCCTGATATTGCATACTTCGTGTATTAAGTCAGCACACCAAATAAGAAGCAACTGAAATCAGTGAAAAAAATCTCAGGATACTTGAAGATAACCCTTAGATATAGTTTGCTCTTCAAAAGAACTAAAAATTGTATTATTGAGATTTACATAGATGCTAGTTGGCAGAAGAGATAACTGATAGGATATCAACCATTGAATATTATTCATATATCTGGGGCAAACTCATCACATGAAGAAGCAAACATCAAGCTATTGTTTCTCAAAATAGTGCAGAATCTTAATATCCCGCTCATGCACTAGTAATATGTGATATGAATTCAACGGTTATTAAGGGAACTTAAGATTGAGATGACATGCACAATTAAGATGTTCGGTAATAGCCAAAAAGTTATTAGTATAGCCAAAAATTTTGTACATCATAACAGAATAAAACACATCGATATTGACTGACACTTCATCTCAGAAAATATCAACAATGGAATTCTTTAACTCAGCTATATTATCACACAACTTCTGATTGTTGATATTCTCACCAAAGCACTACTAAGGGTTAGTCAAGATAAATTGAAGTCCAAACTTGATTTGTACCATATATACAACTGTTGACCTCATTTTTGAGGTCATTTCTTTTTCTAGGAGCCTAGGATCTAGCTCTAGGAATTCCTACTGACCATCCTAGAAAACTAAAATTGAGACCCATCCTTTTAGAAATTCCAGTCACTTCCTATTTTTCTTTGATATGTAACATTTATGGCACAAAACCATCGTCTTATGAACGAGCGGTTATAGGCTATTTTGTGCAGACTCAGAGGAAAAGTTCCCAATAGAACTTTAAGCCTTAGGAAGATATTGGTCACGATTTTTTCGTCACATACACACACAAAATACACAAAGTTCACGAAATTGCACGAAATCGGATTTC